TAAGGCTACTTTCTTGTTTAACTGTATTATTTCTTTTATATTTATTTTAGTGTTTTGCAGGCTGCGGATTCACTGACTGAAGTGCTAAAATAATAATGAGCTGACGAGTTAAATCGGGTGTGTTAGATGAGTGAGACAGTGCTAGGCTGCTCCGGGACGGTTTTGAAAACCATTTCAGAGACATCTTAAATATGACTCATATAAAATATATTACATGCATGCACGGTTTTAAGGCAGCTTTAATCACCTTTTTGGTAACTTTATGACTTAACTGACCACGACATTGCATGCACATAGTTTATTTCATGCTTTGATATGAAATGATACAGGCTACAGCGCTACGAAGAGCACAGAAGAGCCCGCATTACGAACACAGTACCGTTTCCGCGCTCGTTTGAATCATGCCTGGCACTGAAGTGAAGCTGGAGCGCGCGTCTGAAACGTTCTGCGACTAAATAAATACACTTTTTTTTTCAAAAAAAGAGACAGAAGCAGCAGTTGTGGGCGGTGGCCAACCCTAGCTCCACCCCTGCATTTAATGCGTTATATATTTTTAATGCGTTGAACTGAAAAAATTAATCGCCTGCGATGTGATTAATCTTTTGACAGCACATATATATATATATATATATATATATATATATATATATATATATATAAAACATCCCCAAGATCAATCCCCAAGACAGGATGATGATTCTGATTAATCAACAAGCAGGTCTTGTGGTGGACCGACGAGGTTTAAGAAGCCACAAAGGTGAAGAAGTCTCGTGGGTGGCTGACAACTGGCAAGAGTACCGATGACTGAAGTCGATAACAAAGAAGGCAGTAGCTACCGTGAAGGCCCGGCAATATGTCAATCTCTACGCCCAGCTCAACATGCCCGAAGGAGTCAGCCAAATCTACAAACTCAAGAAAGCCCGCCATCGCTTTCTACAAGTAATGAATATCAATATATATAAAACATCCCCAAGATCAATCCCCAAGACAGGATGATGATTCTGATTAATCAACAAGCAGGTCTTGTGGTGGACCGACGAGGTTTAAGAAGCCACAAAGGTGAAGAAGTCTCGTGGGTGGCTGACAACTGGCAAGAGTACCGATGACTGAAGTCGATAACAAAGAAGGCAGTAGCTACCGTGAAGGCCCGGCAATATGTCAATCTCTACGCCCAGCTCAACATGCCCGAAGGAGTCAGCCAAATCTACAAACTCAAGAAAGCCCGCCATCGCTCAACCCTGGACATTGGTCAAGTAATGAATATCAATATCTGCCGAACACAAGCGCTGCCCCCGTCTCTGGGCCGGTACCGCCGTTCAGCCCTGCTGAGGTCGAGCTTGCCATCAAAAAGAAGGAAACCCGATGACATTCCCGTCGAGGCGTGGAAGCTACTCAGACACAGAGGCACAGAAATTCGACTGTTCAACAAGATCATCAACGAAGGTGCAACTCCCTCAGTGTGGTCTGCCAGTGTAGCGGTCCTGATCTGGAAAGGCAAAGGTGATGTCGGCAAATACACCACCTACTGCCCGATCTGCCTGCTCTGCCACACCATGAAGATATTCGAGCATGTAATCGAAGCCCATCTCCAGAAGATCGTCTCTATCAGTCCCAATCAGTGTGGATTTGTTAGAGGAAACAGGACTACTGATGCAATCTACGCCATCAGACTGCTGCTGGAGAGGCACGGGGAGAAGAACCACCCAGTACACATGGCTTTCTCGAGAAGGCATTTGACTGCGTGCCCCGGGACCTCATCTGGCATTCCCTCCGCTCTCACGGCGCCCCCGAAGAGTAGGTACAGTGGATCCAGCTCCTCTATGCCAACATCACCAGTGTCGTCCGATGCCCCGCTGGCCTGTCCAAACCGTTCTCGATCACGGTCGGCGTGCACCAGGGATCCGCCCTCTTCCCGCTTCTGTTCATCCTTTGCATGGACATGGCCATGGCGGATATTTAGGCGCCTCAGCCCTGGTCACTTCTATTCGCTGACGATATCTACCAAGCTGACAAAACCCATTGAGGGCTCGAACGAGGAACGAGCTACAAGTCGTGCACAGATTAACATCAAGAAGATGAGTACATGGAGTGCGGGCCACAGACTGACGGGACGATTAGAGTTAGAGGGCAGCCACTGAACAAGATCACCAAATTTAAATAGCTCGATTCGCTCATCAGAAGCGACAGCGACTCCCTCCCCGATGCCCACGCCTGGGTCAACGTGGTGTGGCTCAAATGGGGACAAGTTATGGGCATTCTCTGTGAACGCCAAATGCCCATACGGGCAAGATCTACAAAACCATCATACGCCCAGTCGTGCTGTATGGTTCCGCGTCTATGTGTAATGAATCTATATAATATATGGGTTTCACTTTCTGAAATGAGTGATTTATGTGAGAATATTGACCTTTTTCATGATATTCTAATTTTTTGAGATGTACCTGTATATACTGTATATAACTGAACTCTACTCTCTTAAAACGGGTAGTAAAACATTAATTGATTTTAGTAAGAATAAGTGCAGCATTTACCATCACCATCTTTGGCATCTTCTGGCAGCAGAGCATCTTGGCGATTCCCCAAAACAAAAGCCAGCGTGGACAGTATGCCGGCGTCCAGCACCCCCAGCATGGCCAGTATATACGCCCAGTGCACAGAGCAGTTCCCCGGGGAGAAACTACTCACACGGTCCCCGCACAGCGCCCGCATCTCAGCACATGCCCAGGAGTCTGGGAACAACACACACGCCAGGGCCAAACAGAAGCCTGCATCCAGAAACAGAGATGCAATTAGTGGTACTGTATTGTTTAACGTATATTGTTCGCATTTCATGTCAAAAAGAGCACATTTCAGTCGAGATTCAAAAAACAATCTCAATGTACTACAGCTTTGCAAAGAGGTTATTACTGAAGGATGAACCCCAGAGCCTCATTCTGCATGCAAAGAGGTTAGCCAATCATAACTGAGGTCATTTACATCCTCCAGAATGTCTTAAAGGTGCAATAGCAAAAAACAGCCTCTTTAAATCTAAGGGTCAGAAAGAGGGTCATGGAACTAAATTAAGTTTTTGGTGTTAAAAATAACCCTGAATAAAAAAATGGAATGAGCTATTCAGAAGAAATCACAAGCTTTCAATAATCACTTCTTCATCATCACATACTACACAGATCTCTGGATCATGCTGTATTTCATGTCAAAACTAAAAGAAATTAAAAAAATATATATTTTTCTGTTAGAAATTGCTGCCTTCTTTTGAAACTATTCAGATTTTCTGAACTGTGACATTATTTTCATAAGAATTAAGCACAAATTTGAAATTTGAGACACATTTATATGTAAAAGTAAACAAATTAAATTAGATTTTGCTTTAATTAGGTATATATTGGTGTCAGTGAGGTTGTTTTAAGGAATTAAAGACATTCATTTCAAAAGTGACATAAAAGACATTAATATTGTAACAAATTATTTCTATTACAAATAAATGTTTTTCTTAGTACATAGTACATAGTAGTTAAGGCCATTTAATACAAAGTGGGACCGAAAACAGTTATTTAAAATAGTACAATTTCACAATGTTACTGTTTTTCCAGTATTTTTGATCAAATAAATGCAGCCGTGGTGAGCAGAAGAGACTTGATGAATCAGCTGAAGAGTCTCACCTGCTGTGAGCTGCAGCCAAGCACAGATCTTATAGACGGTTGCTGCATTGCAGAATCTGAACAGACACAGGCAGCCCACGCTGGCCCACACCATAGTGAGAGACATGCAGACCAGCACAGCAGGAGACTGGAAGGCTGGGAGTGGAGTCAGGGTGCGAAGAGACCCCCGGCATTCTGGGACAGGCCAATCCATCTCCGTGCAGACCTCAAAGAGGCCCAGCGTCCCGGTCGGAGGAGCCGGACCCCCTCCTCGGTAGTGCAGCTCTCGTGTGCCCACCCATGACGGCTGGATGAGAATGACCACCTCGATAATGGCAAAGCAGAGCGTGCAGATGGCCCACAGCACGCCCACCGCCCGCGCGCTTCGGATGAACTCGGTCTGATACAGACGGGCCACCTCAGACGAGTGACGCTGCATGCTGGAGACAGCTGGAGATGACAATCAGCAGAAAGATCATATTATGCAATGGCATTCTATAGATCATCTACAACGTTTAAAAACAACATTTTGAATGTCCATGTCATTTATCCGTAAAAAAAAAAAAAAAAAGAATACCAAATTACCAAAAATAAAATTCTGTCATCATACTGTATACTCACCCTCACCACCAGTGTCATTTTAGTATCATTGAGATACTTTTACAGTTTTTATTCATATTTTGAATTATTTTTCTGTTTTAATTTTAATTTTAGTTAGTTTTAGTCATTTTTATTCGTTTTCTTTCAATGTCTATAGTTTGTATTCTTTTTTATTTCTGTTTAGTTTTAGTTATTTTAGTAAATCAAGCTAAACTAAATGAAAATAAGAAATAAAAATACCTGAAATAAAAAAATTAAATACGTTTTTTATATTTACATTTATTTCTGTTAAAGTTTGATAAATGACATTTAATAGTTTTAGGTTCAGTTAACTATAAAACCCTGTTTCAAACAACACTAGACCCCACTGACTTTCATTTTATTTTAAATATATAATTGTACTATAATTCATGTTCTGTACAATAAGGTTAGTTAATGTTAACACATTAACTAAAATTAACTAACAAAGGGCAATTTATTTGTTACCAGGGTTATTATAGTAATCTAAAACTAAAATCATTAAAAAAAGTTACTTGAAATAAAATATATATAAAAAAAACATAACACTTATTTTATTTCAGCTAGTTGCCAAGGCAACATTTCTTATTTTGAGTTAGTCTAACTAGATACTATAATAATTTAAAATAATAAATTAAAAATTAAATAAAAACTAGACATTTAAAAACAAATACTAATAAAAATGACAAAAACACAAAATTACTAAATCTAAAATGAAAACAGAAAATATAAAAAATAATAACTAATAATTTGAAATATGAATAAAAACCATTAATATCTCTGATATACTAAAATAACACTATTTATTAATTTTTGTTAGCCTTTTAGTTCATGTTATCTCAGGTCTATTAAATATTAACAGATACCATTTTGATTTTAATAGTATATTAGTAAATGTTGAAATTAACAGTAATACAATTTTTATTATTTCATGTTAACTATTATTGTTATATTGTTATAATTGTTAGTTCATGTTAAACCTTATTATGAGGTGTTACTGTTTTTTACAGTACTTATGTGGTAATATCAAATGTACTTTTTTGTGCTTCACATTTATTTACATTATACTTGTAATATTGCTTGAATATGCTATTACAATGAAGCATGTTCTTAAAAAAACATGGTTTTACCATGGTAAAAATGCTAATACCATGGTCATTTTTAACCAAAAAACATCAAAACGCATTGCCAATTGATAAAAAGGGACATGATGAACAGATGAACAGCTAAGAAAGCTGATGCCTAGTCCTGAAAACCTGATCTCAACCTGGTAAACGATGTAAAGAGATGGATGAAGGGAGATTCACCTCTCTGCTCTGGCTGATTCCAGGTCTGTTCCTCCCACCACAGGATCTGGGTGACAAAAATCTCATTCAAATTGAATTACTTGACAGCAGCATCACGTAAAATGTAGGAGTGAGTGAAAGAGAGAAATTGACCTGAATGGAGGGATTCTTCTCCTCCGCTTCCTCCCGGTGAGATCACGGCAGGATGTGCGACAGTAAAAACAGGCCCACGCTGCTTGCAACCATCTTCCTCGCACATATGGAGGGAGAGGAGAGTGGGAGAAGGGAGGGGGAGCGCAGGGCCATTCTGATTGGGAGGAGGGTCTCTGTGCGCGCACACACACACACACACACACACACACACAAACACAGCAATGCAATCCAATGATGCACAATAAGAAAATGAAATGATCTGTCAAACCCTGTGGGGGGAAAGAAAGAGTTACAGCTCATCGATCCTAAAAGCATTACATTCCATACAGAGGGAAGAGGAAGTGAGAGAATAATACACGGAGCAGAAGTGATGCATTTCAGAGGAGCACAAGATAAATACTAGGGGAATAAACATGAATGGTGGAGGGAAGAAGCTCGTCTGTGCATCATTTAGCAGGTTCACTGGCATTATGATCGCTCAGCAGACATGAAAATTAATGCTTGCAAAAAAACAGTAACCATAAGATTTAAAACAAGACTGTCTCACTCCGGGTAAATCTAATTAAAATATATCACCTCAAGAAAAAAAAAAGGCCTAAATAAATAAATAAAAAAATTATTGTCACTAAATATAAAATAAAAAAAACTAAAAAACACCTTTTTTTATTTATTTTGGGGTGAAATAAAAAATAAATAAGCATCAGTTAAAAAAAAAAACATATTCAGATCATATTTCACCCCAAAATCTATATATACATATCTATCTATCGGTACTAATATTGCAATTATGTATTATTAATAATAATAATATTAATATTAGCAATATTGCAACATTTATGGGTAAATAAGATACAAAGCTGTACCTTTTGAAAGGGTATGACCTTTTTTTCTGAGAGTGTGGGGTCGCCGGTCCGAATCCGGACCGCAAAGCCTTTTGACATGATGAAATAAATAAATACCAGACGCAATTTTCTAACAAGATCTAATTTATATCAAGCACATCAAGGTCAGCTCAGTACAGCTGTTTAGGTCCTACGGCGCCATGTGTTACTATTACAGTTAACTGTTGCTACAGTCAGGCGGTCGTGCAGTGAAGAGAGCGGCGTGCAGACAGATGAAACTTTCAGTGAGTGAAAAACAATGGCATTCTCAAACATTACGAAAGATGAGGGTCCTTAAAAAGTCTTACATTTAGTTGTATCAAATGTAAGGCCATAAAAAGTCTTAAATCGTACAAGAAAGTCTTCTGATTTTGCAGAGTTGTAAATGTGAACTGGTGGATCGACAAGAAGATAATGTATTATAAAAACAATTAAGACAGTAACATATTTATATGATATTTAATTAATATAATAGTTGATTGATATTAATTGTTTAACTTAAAATAATAATTGGTACTTTTGACTCAATTTTCCTAAAAAATGGTTTAAAGTCTGAATTGTGAAGTTTATCATTTTATAAAACTTTTTGTTTTAAAGTCTTAAATATGAGCTTAAATATCTTGCAGATAGCCTGGTCTGCCAAATACCATCAATTAATACTTTTAGGTATATAAATGTCCGGACCTTGGCTGGTGAGGAGGGTTCATTACTGGACCTCAAGCAATTTTAGTTGAAGACCCCTGAATTATAATATATATATATATGTGTGTGTGTGTGTGTGAGAGTGTGTGTGTGTTT